CTCACTCACTCACTCACTCACTCACTCACTTCCACTCACTTCCACTCACTTCCACTCACTCACTCACTCCCTCACTCACTCACTCCCTCACTCACCCACTCACTCACTCCCTCACTCACCCACTCACTCACTCCCACTCACTCACTCACTCACTCACTCACTCCCACTCACTTCCACTCACTCACACTCACTTCCACTCACTCACTCACTCACTTCCACTCACTTCCACTCACTTCCACTCACTCACTCACTTCCACTCACTTCCACTCACTTCCACTCGCTCACTCACTTCCACTCACTTCCACTCACTTCCACTCACTTCCACTCACTTCCACTCACTTCCACTCACTTCCACTCGCTCACTCACTTCCACTCACTCACTCACTCACTCACTCACTCAATCAATCACTCACCCACTCACTCACTCACTCACTCGCTCACTCGCTCACTCGCTCACTCACTCACTCACTCACTCACTCACTCACTCACTCACTCACTTCCCCTCACTTCCCCTCACTTCCCCTCACTTCCCCTCACTTCCACTCACTTCCACTCACTTCCACTCACTTCCCCTCACTTCCACTCACTTCCACTCACTTCCACTCACTTCCACTCACTCACTTCCACTCACTTCCACTCACTTCCACTCACTTCCACTCACTTCCACTCACTTCCACTCACTTCCACTCACTTCCACTCACTTCCACTCACTTCCACTCACTTCCACTCACTCACTTCCACTCACTCACTTCCACTCACTCACTTCCACTCACTCACTTCCACTCACTCACTTCCACTCACTCACTTCCACTCACTTACTTCCACTCACTTACTTCCACTCACTTCCACTCACTTCCACTCACTTCCACTCACTTCCACTCACTCACTTCCACTCACTCACTTCCACTCACTCACTCACTTCCACTCACTCACTCACTTCCACTCACTCACTCACTTCCACTCACTCACTGTTACATACAGACGCTGTTACACAAAGAAGTCTTTACACAGAGAGCTTTTACACATGGAAGCTTTCACACACAGAAGTTTCTACACAGAGAAGTCTTTACACAGAGAAGCTTTTACACGCAGAAGCTTTTTCACACAGAAGTTTTTACACATCCATGAATATGTTCAAAAAAGCATAAGGAATATATTTCTGAAGCAGCAGGTCCTCATTCAATGGCTTGCAAGCCCACCCTGCGATGACATCGAGGGTCAAGTAATCCAGCGGAGCCGACGATGAGCGTCAGCTCTAAAATCCGGCGATGCCTCTGCCGTATGTGTGCACCTTGCGGCCATAGCTTTAGCTACCGGGGGCGCGCGCCTGCCGCTTTCAAATTTTTGAGGTTCCGGGGCTGGGAGAAAAGAGGCTGGTATTATAAGATGCTTTTGGAAGTCGATTTTGGGCTGTTTTTGAGCAATTTTTTGACGTTTTTTTTTTTTGGCTGCGCTCGGGATGTAAAAAAAATTGTTAAATGCAGTGTTTGTGTCCTTTTCGCATATAGAAATTTCATCTTGCAACGTGGTGAAAAATGCGTAAATACCAGTGCTTTGCTAGGCGCTGGCACAAAAACACTGTAAATACCGTGATTTTTGCTACCAAAGGCACACCACCTCGTAAATACCGTGTTTTTTTGGGCTTGCGAGGCGCAAAAAACATCGGTATTGACGATGTTTTTTTTTCTCCGCGGGTCTCAAATATATGCGAAAACGCCACTAGTTGGCGATTTTTAGGGGTCCACAAAAATGCGAAAATGAGCTGAACAACAACAGCAGCAGCAACAACAACAACAACCACAACAAGACGAACAAGAAGAAGAACAACCACAAACACGCGACAAAAAATGTGTGGTAAGATGGTTACAAGCTGCGGTATGACAAGAACATCACACTTTGCTCTGCACCTGCGCGCACGCGCAGAGCACATGAACAACACCAACGCTCACACTACTATACATACCCCTTATAACGGCATCGCCGGTGTGCGAAGCGCTACGATACATATATTGTATGTACTTATTTATCTATCAGTATTCATCAATCAATGTTTTGTACAAGTTGAATGTCAGCACGCAAAGATATCGCGAAATGAGGTACATTCAGCAGCTTGGGCCTGACCTCTGTGGGCTCTCAATCTGGAAGACTGTGTGCCAGGATTTCTCATAGCGTGGTCACTTTGACCCAAAACTGTTCGAGCCTTGTAAGATCTTGTAAGCTTCACCAGGGTGCTGGCTGTACTTGCAGCGTCGGAATCATCACCGGAGCTGATGACAGAGGTGTCTCCCAAATGCCTCAGTCAGGGTCCAGAGATTGATGGTATCTCATGCGGATGTATCAGTGGCTGGTTGGTATTAAAAAATTACTTTACTTCGTGTGATCCCCACCATGACATTTATACATGTTCTTACTGGCACATCTTCTGGCATTCTATCTGACATATCTTCTGACATTCTATTTGGCATTCTATCTGGCATATCTTCTGGCATATCTTCTGGCATATTTTCTCTGGCATTCTATCTTCTGGCATTCTATCTGGCAAATCTTCTGGCATTCTATCTGACATCTGGCATCTTCTGGCATTCTATCTGGCATATCTTCTGGCATATCTTCTGGCATTCTATCTGGCAAATCTTCTGGGCATTCTATCTGGCATATCTTCTGGCATTCTATCTGACATATCTTCTGGCATTCTATCTGGCATTCTATCTGGCATATCTTCTGGCATATCTGGCATTCTATCTGGCATTCTATATCTTCTGGCATATTCATATCTTCTGGCATTCTATCTGGCATATCTCATATCTGGCTATTCTTCTGTCCCATATCTTCCTACATGAGGTCCGGCAGGGAACACTTGGCGTGGGGATACTCGTGGTTGAGGTCCGGCAGGGAACACTGGGCGTGGATGGTCGTGGTTGAGGTCCGGCAGGGAACACTGGGCGGGGATACTCGCGGTTGAGGTCCGGCAGGGAACACTGGGCGGTGATGGTCGTGGTTGAGGTCCGGCAGGGCACACTGAACGTGGATGGTCGTGGTTGAGGTCCGGCAGGACACACTGACATGGATCGCAGTGGAGCAGGAGGAGGAGGAGAAGGAGGACGAGAAGGAGGAGGACGAGGAGGAGGAGGAGGACGAGGAGGAGGAGGACGAGGAGGAAGCAACTGACATAAAATCTAACAACCCTCACCCGGCAGGTGGGGAACCAACCAAGAGGGTCACATACAGAAGGTGCAATGTCACGCGAATTCGACTGGTTGAGAATTGCTGGGGTAAAGGAAATATTGATAGCTCTGAACGGGTAAGATCATTTACAATCAAATGATGCATGCTAGCGCTTCATGCTAGGCATGGGAGTGCTAAGCAATGCTCAAAAAGATGTGTGTATATATATATATTCCATATACAGTATCTATATATATATATACATATATTATTATATAAACATTAATTTGAAGAAAATTGAGCACAAAAAAAAAGAAATACCAACGCTACAGGAATCTATAGGAATCTACAGGATAGTACAGATGCTTCTGTGAAGGCTTCGGTGCCAAAAACTCTGACTCATGTAGCTCAGGAACCGCTCCACTTGATCCAAGAAGGACGTGTCCCGTTTGAAGTGCGAACGACTCCCCATTGACCTGATGGAGATTCTGATGGATGTTCCATTGGATGTTCCATGTTGCTGGTGAATTGATGTGAATTGCGGTGCAAACTTCGGAAAATTTGAGTGATTTACTCAGATGCTTTTGGATCATCTTTCTGTGTTTACCTCGCGTTCCTTGCTGCCTAGAATGAAGCCAACGTTTCCCGAAATACGCGTTTGTCTTCAGACAAGTGCGAAGAGTGCGTCAAACATGAACTACAGTTGTTGCATGTTGTTGCTTTTCTGTCACAGTAGCCCAACAAACGACTGCACAGCATCCCGAAGACTCATGCAGTCGAACAAAATGGCACGCACCAAGATGTACTTGAACCAGTTCACATCTGTCTTCTAGAGGGTCTCGCAAAAACATAAAACATCGTGCTAGGAGTAGACTGTCCAGAGCAAGCTCAGGAATATGTTCCAATGAGACTTTCCAATGGGATCTGGTCAAAAGAGATCCAAAGTGTACATAGAACTCACGGAACCCTGCCTCAAGTTGGTCTTCTTGGTACCTGACAGAAAGAAACACTGAAAACTGAACGTCTCCAAATATCTCAAACTCAAAACACGTGAGCGTCAGCACGTGAACCTCATGAATGCACAGAAGTTTAAGGCAACTCACACACACATATTTCCACACCGGGCGCGGGCGTGTGATAACACGTGGCGACCCAAAGAGACACGACATTTTACCACAAAGGTCTTTTGTCCAATGCCAACCACTCGGAGAGAAAGTCATGTAGGCATGGATCAAATCTCCAAGATGGATTTTCATACCCAAAGATGCCGTATCATAGGTATGACTCGGTATGACCCATCCCCATATCAATCCCAAAACTTTTGCAGATCATTGTGACACTCGTGACAACCACAGAAGCCTTCAGGGTAACTGAAGGCGAATGAGGAGCTGAGGCTGGGAGTCGGTTGCCAAGAGTGGCTCCTGACGTCGACGAGCCGTCTGAAAACAAGGCACAGTTCTCACCCAAAGTTGAGAAGCGTCTTGTCGAAAGTTGAGAATTTCACAGCCTTTTCTCACTTATTATTCTGTATTCCCGCACAGTTGCTCCTTGGAACTAAGATGGAGCGGCTTGGGCTAGACGTTGGAGGCAAGATCTCCTCAGCATTTGGAGCAGGAAGCCAAGGCCGAAACAGGTGAGAAGTTGTGCCAGGCACCACCTGCACCAACTGCACCGACTGGACCAACTTGCCAATGCCAAGCTTCACTTTTCACCTTTCTCAATTGACCAGAGAGTCCTCCCTTGACACTTCTCTCAAGGATCAAATCCCTGGTATCAGGGAAGAACTCCAACATCAAGTACGCCTGTCAGCTGAGCAATAAAGTCAGGATGCAAGTCTCCCTTCAGGAAATTTGATCAAAAGTTCTGGGCTGTTGGCCAGGAGAGAAAACACTCAGAACCGACAGCTCAAAAACATCTGGTAATCTTGTACGAAGCAAGATAGTATGCATTGTTCTCTTCAAATACAAAAACGGCATCAAAGGCGCATGTCCACACACACACATGATCACACTGCACATGATGACCATGATGGCTATCGTCACGCAAAAAGCTTTTTCTTGACCAACTCTTGGGCAGCAGGAAGCCTTGAACATGTCTATCATCATTGCCAGAAGTGGAACTGCCAGCGTGCCCATCCAGAAAAGCGGCCTTTGCGTCACATGGAATGCCAAGCCATACCTTCGAGCTTTGCAAATGGCGGATTTGAGATGTTTGGACTCCATTCCATGGAATAAGTTGCCTCAATTTTCCACGACCTACACGATCGACAACTTACCATCACTAATTCATGACTCTTGCTACGTGGACCATCTCAATATACCGGAACTACAAAACGAATATGCGTTCCTTCGAATAATGCTGCTAACAATCCTGTGATGCTGGGGCAAGTAACACTTCCGGGAAGAAGCTGGGTAAGTCGGAATACAGGACCACAAAGAGCCTGAATCGCCGTGGAGACAAAAGCAACAGGCATTTCCGACCCACAGGAGTCGCTTGGTGGTTGTATAATATATCCGCCGACCCCGGCCGACGCAAGGGGGAGCGCGTAAGGGAAAAAGAGGTACTGCACTGCTATTACTACCGCCTAGTATCCAGGAGCCAGCAGCCAGCCAGGAGCCAGTAGCCAGCTAGCCAGCAGCCATTAAGCAGCAGCCAGGAGCCAGCAGCCAGAGCTAGCCAGCATCCAGTAAGCAGGCAACAGGCAGCCAGTAGTCAGCAGCCAGGAGCCAGCAGCCAGAGCAACAACAAGAACAACAACAACAGCAGCAGCCAGCTAGCCAGCATCCAGTAAGCAGGCAACAGGCAGCCAGTAGTCAGCAGCCAGGAGCCAGCAGCCAGAACAAGAACAAGAACGAGCTACCAGTAGTCAGCAGCCAGGAGACAGCAGCCAGAGCAACAACAAGAACAACAACAACAACAGCAGCAGCAGCCAGCTAGCCAGCATCCAGAAAGCAGGCAACAGGCAGCCAGTAGTCAGCAGCCAGGAGCCAGCAGCCAGAACAAGAACAAGAACCAGCTAGCCAGCAGCCATTAAGCAGCAGCCATTAAGCAGCAGCCAGGAGCCAGCAGCCAGCTAGCCAGCATCCAGTAAGCAGGCAACAGGCAGCCAGGAGCCAGCAGCCAGAGCAACAACAAGAACAAGAACAAGAACAAGAACAAGAACAAGAACAACACCAACACCAACACCGACACCGACACCGACACCGACACCAACACCAGCAGCAGCAGCAGCAGCAGCCAGCTAGCCAGCATCCAGTAAGCAGGCAACAGGGAGCCAGTAGTCAGCAGCCAGGAGCCAGCAGCCAGAACAAAAACAAGAACAACAACAACAGCAGCTAGCCAGCATCCAAAAAGGAGCCAAAAGCATCATTTTCTATGGGTTCCAGAAGTTACGTTAAGCATTTTCGGGGTGCAATTTTGGGGCTTCTCCATCCTTCAGAGGCATGGTGTTTCCGTGCGGGGAGGTGATTTTTTCCATGGTGTTTTTCCATCCGGGGACCAGCAGCAGCAGCAAAAGCCTCTGCAGCAGCAGAAGGAAAAGGTAGCCAAAATTCATAGCAGCAGCAAGAAGAAAAAGTAACCAAAATCATCATTTTCTATGGGTTTCGGAAGTTACGTTTCAGAAGTTACGTTAGGCATATTCGGGGTGCAATTTTGGGGCTTCTCCGTCCTTCAGAGCCATGGTGTTTCCCTGCCGGCAGGTGATTTTTTCCATGGTGTTTTCCCATTTGGGGACCGGATGTAAAGGTAGCCAAAATTCATAGCAGCAGCAAGAAGAAAAAGGAGCCAAAAGTATCATTTTCTATGGGTTTCAGAAATTACGTTAGGCATTTTCGGGGTGCAATTTTGGGGCTTCTCCGTCCTTCAGAGCCATGGTGTTTCCCTGCCGGGAGGTGATTTTTTCGGAGCTGTTTTTACTGCTAGCAGTCGCAGGCAACAGCAGCAGCCAGCTAGCCAGCATCCAGTAAGCAGGCAACAGGGCGCCAGTAGTTAGCAGCCAGGAGCCAGCAGCCAGAACAAAAACAAGAACAACAACAACAGCAGCTAGCCAGCATCCAAAAAGGAGCCAAAAGCATCATTTTCTATGGGTTCCAGAAGTTACGTTAAGCATTTTCGGGGTGCAATTTTGGGGCTTCTCCATCCTTCAGAGGCATGGTGTTTCCGTGCGGGGAGGTGATTTTTTCCATGGTGTTTTTCCATCCGGGGACCAGCAGCAGCAGCAAAAGCCTCTGCAGCAGCAGAAGGAAAAGGTAGCCACAATTCATAGCAGCAGCAAGAAGAAAAAGGAGCCAAAAGTATCATTTTCTATGGGTTTCAGAAGCTACGTTAGGCATTTTCGGGGTGCAATTTTGGGGCTTCTCCGTCCTTCAGAGCCATGGTGTTTCCCTGCCGGGAGGTGATTTTTTCCATGGTGTTTTTCCATCCGGGGACCAGCAGCAAAAGCAAAAGACTCTGCAGCAGCAGAAGGAAAAGGTAGCCAAAATTCATAGCAGCAGCAAGAGGAAAAAAAAACAGCCAACATTTTCTATGGGTTTCGGAAGTTACGTTTCAGAAGTTACGTTAGGCATTTTCGCGGTGCAAAATTGGGGCTTCTCCGTCCTTCACTGCCATGGTCTTTTCCCATCCAGGGACCAGCACAACAGCAGCAAAAGCCTCTGCAGCAGCAGGAGGAAAAGGTAGCCAAAATTCATAGCAGCAGCAAGAGGAAAAAGGAGCCAAAAGCATCATTTTCTATGGGTTTCAGAAGTTACGTTAGGCATTTTCGCGGTGCAACTTTCCAGCAGCAGCAGCAAAAGCCTCTGCAGCAGCAGAAGGAAAAGGTAGCCAAAATTCATAGCAGCAGCAAGAGGAAAAAAAGCAGCCAAAATCATCATTTCCTATGGGTTTCGGAAGTTACGTTTCAGAAGTTACGTTAGGCATATTCGGGGTGCAATTTTGGGGCTTCTCCGTCCTTCACTGCCATGGTGTTTTCCCATCCAGGGACCAGCACCACAGCAGCAGCAGCAAAAGCCTCTGCAGCAGCAGGAGGAAAAGGTAGCCAAATTCATAGCAGCAGCAAGAAGAAAAAGGAGCCAAAAGCATCATTTTCTATGGGTTTCAGAAGTTACGTTAGGCATATTCGCTGTGCAATTTTGGGGCTTCTCCGTCCTTCAGAGCCATGGTGTTTCCCTGCCGGGAGGTGATTTTTTCCATGGTGTTTTCCCATTTGGGGACCGGATGTAAAGGTAGCCAAAATTCATAGCAGCAGCAAGAAGAAAAAAGAGCCAAAAGTATCATTTTCTATGGGTTTCAGAAGTTACGTTAGGCATTTTCGGGGTGCAATTTTGGGGCTTCTCCGTCCTTCAGAGTCATGGTGTTTCCCTGCCGGGAGGTGATTTTTTTCGGAGCTGTTCTACTGCTAGCAGCCGCAGGCAACAGAATCTGTCCAAAAATACTGTTCTTCTAAGATTTCAGACGACGCGTTAGGGAGTTTTTTGGCGTGGTTTTGGAACTAGCTCGTCCTTCTGAAGCATTGCGTTTCCCTGCCGGGAGGTGATTTTTTCGAAGCTGTTTGACTGCTAGCCGCCGCAGGCCACGGAATCTGTCGAAAAATGCTGTTTTTTTCCCCACATCTTTGTGTGGGGTTCTTGTTTTTGATTCTGTATCCCGGGTGCCGCCTCCTCCTCCCGCCGCCTCCCTTACACTTACCATACAAAACTTAACATACACTAATTTCACATACAATAACTTCACACACAGAAACTTAACATACATTTTGCGTGGCAGGCGTGGCACAACCTTACATCCGACTTCGTTTCACGTGGCAGGCGTGGCACAAACTCGCATCTACCTTCGTTTTCCGTGGCAGGCGTGGCACTCATGGCATTGGGTGGCGCGCTTGGGTGTGGTTTGGGCGCGCGTGACGCCGCGGCATTTTGCGTGGCAGGCGTGGCACAACCTTACATCCACCTTCGTTTCACGTGGCAGGCGTGGCACAAACTCGCATCTACCTTCGTTTTCCGTGGCAGGCGTGGCACTCATGGCATTGGGTGGCGCGCTTGGGTGTGGTTTGGGCGCGCGTGACGCCGCGCCATTTTGCGTGGCAGGCGTGGCACACCTTCGTTTCACGTGGCAGGCGTGGCACAAACTCGCATCTACCTTCGTTTTCCGTGGCAGGCGTGGCACTCATGGCATTGGGTGGCGCACTTGGGTGTGGTTTGGGCGCGCGTGACGCCGCACAATTTTGCGTGGCAGGCGTGGCACAACCTTACATCCACCCTCGTTTCACGTAGCAGGCGTGGCACAAACTCGCATCTACCTTCGTTTTCCGTGGCAGGCGTGGCGCTCATGGCATTGGGTGGCGCGCTTGGGTGTGGTTTGGGCGCGCGTGACGCCGCGCCATTTTGCGTGGCAGGCGTGGCACAACCTTACATCCACCTTCGTTTCACGTGGCAGGCGTGGCACAAACTCGCATCCACCTTGGTTTCGCGTGGCAGGCGTGGCACTCATGGCATTGGGTGGCGCGCTTGGGTGTGGTTTGGGTGCCCGTGACGCCGCGCCATTTTGCGTGGCAGGCGTGGCACAACCTTACATCCACCTTCGTTTCACGTGGCAGGCGTGGCACAAACTCGCATCTACCTTCGTTTTCCGTGGCAGGCGTGGCACTCATGGAATTGGGTGGCGCGCTTGGGTGTGGTTTGGGCGCGCGTGACGCCGAGCCATTTTGCGTGGCAGGCGTGGCACAACCTTACATCCACCTTCGTTTCACGTGGCAGGCGTGGCACAAACTCGCATCTACCTTCGCTTTCCGTGGCAGGCGTGGCACTCATGGCATTGGGTGGCGCGCTTGGGTGTGGTTTGGGCGCGCGTGACGCCGCGCCATTTTGCGTGGCAGGCGTGGCACAACCTTACATCCACCCTCGTTTCACGTGGCAGGCGTGGCACAAACTCGCATCTACCTTCGTTTTCCGTGGCAGGCGTGGCACTCATGGCATTGGGTGGCGCGCTTGGGTGTGGTTTGGGCGCGCGTGCTTGGTCCGGATTTGTCGCCCGTGACGCTGCGGCTCGTTGCGTGGGAGGCCGTGACGCTGCGGCTCGTTGCGTGGGAGGCGTGGTATCGGGCTCCTTCTCACGTCGCCTGCCCTTCCTTGCTTTTGCTTAGCGGAATTTTAGAATTTGTTTTTGGACTATTTTTTGTGTAAAAATGTTTGCTTTTTTTGTTTGTAAATTTCTAATTTTCTTTTCTCGTTTGCTCTCAGCAAAGTTATTTTCTGTATCAAAGCCAGGGACCCCGTAAACCCGCCATTGCGTTTTACTTTGCTGGATAACTTGGAAACAGCTGTCAATCTGTGATTTCCAGTCGGGAAATGACCATTGAATTGAACTCTTAATGTTTGGAAGCGTTAGGTTCAACCCAGCAGCTATGTCACCAATGTAATTTGTGTTTTTCTCGTGGGTCTC